TGAGCGAAATAAGAGCAATCTTCAGGAACATATATATAATGATAATATTTATATACAGTTAAGTTTTGCTAGGCAGTATTATGGATATACTGGTATACAGGTAGTAAAGATATGAAACCATTCACGGTAATGTTCTTTACCAACTTCGGCACAGTGGATGCTTTGAAAGCAGTGGTTCTCAACCTTCCTAATGCCGCGACTCTATTTTAATACAGTTCCTCAACCATAAAATTATTTTCGTTGCTCCTTCACAACTGTAATTCTGCTACTGTTATGAATCATAATGTAAATATCAGATATGCAGGATGTATTAGGTGACCCCTGTAAGAGGGTCATTCGACCCCCGAAGGGGCCACGACCCACAGGTTGAGAACCGCTGTTCTAAAGGGAAAAGAAAGGGAACGGGGCTTTGGGAGTAGGACACTCTGAAAGAAAGTCAACCATATCTGCACCACTACACTTACAAAGAAAATCCAGAATGGTGAATACACCGATAGTCCTATTGCTCGTCACTGTCAGCATGCACAACACATTTGTTTACCAAGTGACTAAGCCACACAGTGGAACCTCCAAAAAGACATCCGTAAGATTAAAGAATCCAAATTGTGCAAATTCTCATTTTCATATTTCACAATTTCCAAATGTGTCCATGTTATAAATAAGTAAGTAATCGATATCCAGGCATAAAGTATAAATTCTCTGATTGTGGGATATACATATGTCATTTTAAATAGATTTCCATATCATATATGCAAGTAAAGATTGGAAGGAAGCCCTGGGAAAAGCAAACAGGCTTTTAAGCTAGACGGATTTGGGGGTGAGATTTCTGGACATTTCAGATTTCAACTTAACCGATGGAAAATGTGCAATGCAATGCATTAGGTACTTCCTGAAACATTTTTCTTTGGTAGAAATAATGCAGCAGCACAGATTTAAACACACAGTACTGTAGCCAAGCAGAGCAAAAAGAGCTCCTTTCTTTCTGGTGAAGGTTCACGCTAAGCAAACTGGCACACTGCCGCATGACTTGGGTCAAATCACTTTTGCTACCCAGTTTTCCAGGGCAACCGCCGTCAAGAAGTGGGCCCGGGCGGGAGCGATACTTCGCTAGCCCTTTAATGGAGGCGGGGCTCCGTAACTCAATTGTTCCATTCGTGTCTCAAATCAATCAGATGAAATTCACCTTTTATGTGGCCTGAATCCTGATAGCTCGGCACACCCGAGAGGTAATTTAATCAGCTCGGGTGGAGATGCGCGCAAACTCAAATGAGCCCCTGAAAGCGCTGGTCTTTGAGATAGCTGTGCTTTTCCACGTCTAGGCAAGAGCTGAGCTTCACCAACTGGCCAGCTGGAGGCGTCATTAAAAATTTAGTGACAGAAACAAAGGTGTGCTCTGCGGTCTCCTGTTACCCTTTCTACTGTTTCTCCGGCAGACAAAAAGCAGAGAGCCTGCTTCATGAATAATGTGACATGGAATATTCACAATCTATTTTTAATGGAGTCAAGTAATACCATTAAGGGAGATATTTGCAATCTTCAAATTTCACACAGTAACCAGCGCAGTAATTTGTTTTGATTCTGAACTGGGAGATATCAAGATATATATTTTTCTAACTCTGTACTTCAAAATGATCACACCTCATGAAGCGCATCAGCAGGGATTATAAAATGAACCCAGAGGTCTACTTGCATAAGGAGAGAGCAGAGCGAGGCCTGACCCTTAGATTTCAATCTGTTCAATTTACCCTTCAATCTAAGTGCTTTTTCCCCCAAACCAGGTTGGAAATCATCAACCAGCATGCGTTGGTGGGAAGGAAGCCTCTTCCATCCTTATTTGCTGGCAGTCTCTCCGAGGACAGGAGAAAACAGCTCCCGGGTGTTGAAGTCATTCGTCCGTCACCCTATCAGCTCTGGAAAATTGTCTCAAAGCTGCTTTAGAGGTAAACAAATGTAAATTTTGAATAAGAGGAAGCTGACCTGGAAAGTCGTGGGGTTGAAAACCAAATTAAGCCAACCAAGGACCGAGATTTGAAGGGGCTGATGAAAGCAGCGTCCAAGACCCCCTGCCCCACGAACACAGAAAGTCCTATGTATCCTGGGCGCTCCAGCAAGTTCTCTTTGCTGGTGGACTGCAGAGCCAACCCACAGGATGAAGCAGGAGTTGAATTTCTCTACTTATTCAGTTACCACCTCAACAGATATTGACCTACTATGTGCCTGACAGGAGTCCGGGTAGTGCAGTAGTTACCAGTTGGGCTGATAACCACAAGACAGGAGTTCAAACCTATCAGCAGCTCTGCAGGACAAAGATGAGGCTTTCTTCTCGGGTAATTAAAATCTCATAAACCTGCAGCGACAGTTCGATCCATTCCTATAGGGCCCCTATAGGGTATCCATTCCTATAGGGCATTGGAATCAACTTGATGGCAGTTGAGTGTGCCAGGCAATGTGTGGATAACCACAGACACAGTGGTGACCAAATAAAGTTCCCCAGGGACATTGTGCTCACTGTTGTGTCCGCAGGCCGTAGAACCACGCAAGCACACGTTGGGCACTCAATCAAAGGGTGTGACGGTGCATCCCCAGAATATCTGGCTGGGCCATGCTAGCACACAGGTAGCTGGGATTTAGGCGAGGGTCTTAGTCCGAAGACAAGGACTCTCCCACAGGTGGGGATAGACCCTGATTTGGCTGCTCCTCAGACATAAGTCTTTAGGTCCCTGAGTGATACACCTCGATTCCAACCAAACTCGCTGCCATCAAGTCTATTCTGACACATAGGGGCCTTACGATAAGCTCGCAATGCCCCTGTGCGTCTCAGAGGCTGTAATCCTCTGAGTAGAAAGCCTCATCTTGCTCCCACGGAGTGAATGTTGATTTTGAACTGCTGACCTTGCAGTTAGCAACCCAATGAGTATTCACTATGCTGCCAGAAACCCGGGTGCACTCAACTGCTAACCTCAAAATGGATGGTTCAAACCCACCTGGCAGCACCAAGGCAGGAAAGCCAGGGAGGTTACAGCCACCCGTGGAACAGTCCCATCTGTAACTCATGGAGGGTCCTGAGTTGAAATCGACTCCGTGGCAATGGAATTGGTTTGGGTCGTATCCATCTTTAGATTTGTAACCAACTAGCCGATCTCTTACTTTCGCTCTCCTTCAATCTCCAGAGAATCAAAGCAGCCCAGCTTGGATGGGATGTTAGAACCATCTCCATATTTTATGGGCAAAGTACCAAGAGCAGGGGAATCAATGGATGTGTCCAACCACACAGCGTTTTGATGGCAGAGCCATGACTAAACCTCAAGTCTAGACCCAAGACCTGTGTTTTCCTTAGTCACCTGGGAATCTACTGGCCTAAAAAGCACCTTTGAAATTATCAGGGGAAAAAGCCTCTGTGTATGTGAGACCATCGGCAACCCTATAAGACTATAGTTTTATAAACTTCCAGGTTTTCCTGTTAAGAAAAAAGTGTTTTTGAGGCAGAAAGAGAAAGGCGGATGGACATGTAGACCACTGGAGTTTACTCTTTTCTAGACACCAGTTCATTTGCTTCATTTTGTACTCCACTAGATGTAGTTCCCTTCCAGGTGCCCTGGTGGCCCAGGGGTTAAGGCTCCGTTGCTAACCATAATATTGGCAGTTCGATCCCACCCTCCGCTCCTCAGGGGAAAGCTGAGACCGTCTGCTTCCATAAAGATTTACACCCCTGGAAACCTATAGGGCAGTTCTACTTTGTCCTCTAGGGTCACTATGACTGGCAATGTATTTTCCTTTGGTGCCAGCTTCCCTCCCCCACAGGCTAAGATAAAGCAAACGTCTTTCTCAAACTGTCTGCCTAAATAAAAAGCAGTCTGTTAAGAGTCTTAATATTTTATTAACTTAAAACATCACTCTAATAAATATATATTCACAAACATAATGCACTCCACAGTATCTAAAAAACTTTTACAAATATTCTCAAAGTAAAAACACCAGTATTTTTTCCCCTCTGTGGTGCACATGGAAAGTCAGAGATGAAGACAGACTTCCTTCCCTGCCAACTCAGACATTTAGCGGTTTAAAAACGACAACAACTGAGCATACACACAAATCTTCCAAGCGAACTCTCACTATTTTTTCATTTTTGTTTGATAAAACTCAAAAGGGCCCGAAGGAAAGTTCAAGATGCTGTGCTGTCTTGTCAGTCTTTCCGGGCAGAGGAGAACCTGCAGCTGGGGCACTGGGGTGGTGAGCTTCTGAAAGGCAGGACTGCGACTTGAACCTCTGGCTCCCCAGTACCTAGCATAGAGCCTGCTACTGTGGTCATCAGTGGCCAATCAACATTTGTTAAGTGAATGAATGTTTTGTCAAGAGACGCTGCTGTGATAAAGCCTTCTCAGACTACCTGCTGGCCAACCCTCTAGTCCTGTCTCATCAACACGTCTTCCATCTGCTCCTTCTTGAGCCAGGCCCAATGGTGCAGCCTGTCCTTTCCAGAGCATCCTCTTCTCTTCCCCACCAGGTTCTGAGCCAGCTTCCAGTGGGAGAAAAGATTCCTCCGATATGTACAGGCAATAGCCCATAGGAAAGGGCCAACAGTCTCCCAGAAGGAAAAACTAAAACCTTTAAGCTTCCTCGCTGACACACACGCACATACATACACACATCAACATGTGTCCACCTTGTAAATGTTGATCCCTCCTCGGCCACACAGGGGTTCGGAGCCGATCAGGCGGAGAAGGATATGAACCTGATGGGCTCTCCCGTCTGGGTTTGGAGGACGTGGGCCCTGAGCTTGGATACGCCCCCACCTGACTTGGTGTCTGAAGGTGGAAGAAGCCTACTCAGTGTGGACAAAGTCCAGCCGGTCGCTCGGTCTAGATTGTAAGGCGAAGGGTGAGCACCCTGGTTGCCTCTGCCCACGGGGCGAGGGGCCTGAGAAGGCAGAAGGGGCAGTGGCAAGGGGGAGGTTGCCCTCCGTAGTGTCATGAACTGCTGCTCCTGGTCGACCCGGGTGCTCATTTGAGCCCATGCTGCGTCTCCCGGTGCCGCCGGAGATCCACCTTCCTCTGGAAGCCCTTCCCACACAGGTCGCAGCCGAAGGGCTTGAAGCCTGTGTGCTTGCGGCTGTGGGTGATGAGGTTGGAGCTCTGGCTGAACGCCTTGCCACACACCTGGCACTTGTGGGGCTTCTCACCTGTGGAGAAGGAGGCGGGGAGGAGGAAGTATGAGTCTGTGCTACAGCTAGGGACTCCTGGTGACCCACATGTTGTTGACGACAGCTGGCTGCCCCACAATCTGAAGCCGGCAAGCGACTTGCTGGGCACAGTGCTGCAGCGGCATGAAGCAGATTCCCAGCCTGCAACTCAAGCCCTGGTAAGCGAGACGGGCAGCAGGTGATAGGGAGCTGAGTGGGGGTTCCCAGCCAAAGGCCTCAAACCGTTTCCTGCTAAACGGAAACAGGGCAAATGCCACGTGCCCTCCCCAGATTCACAGCTGAATCCACCCTGGGAGGATGCCCCAGACTACAGAAGCTGAGTTCGCCTAGAGCAGCCGTTCAGCTGAAGGGGCGGGGGCGTTTGTCCTCCAAACCTTGTGACTCTCTTCTCTGTAACTCAGAGGAAGTTTCCAAATCTGAGTTTCCAAGTGGGGACTGGCTTGTACGGACCAGTGAACCTGTCCTCGTTCCTGCGCTTGAAAGCCAATTGAATGTTTCTGAAGCAGGGGCAGTTCTCAAAGTCTCATTTTAAAAAATTCACTTAGGCCACAACTATTTCTTAAGGTAATTGAAGCTTTTCTGCCTTGATTTTACTTTCTTTTTACAAGAGGTTGATCACAGGATTCTTTATCTAAAAGCCACTCTTCACCATAAAAGGGGCTCTGGTGGCTGGGTGGGTTACGAAGTTGGGTTGCTAGTCAGCTAACCACAAGGTTAGCAGTTTGAAACCACCAACTGCTCCAGGGAGCTCCAGGGAGAGCGTGAGGCTTCTGCTTCCATACAGCAATCCTCTGCCCTACAGAGTTGCTGTGAGTCGGAATTGATTCAAGAACGTCACTATAAATGACCAACTGGACACGCAAATAATAAATGACCAACTGGACATGCAAAGATTTTGCCTTTTCCCCCTAACACATGTACTAGTCAACATTTGGGTAAAAAACATGGTTTTCCAGAGAGCCCTAACATGGCATTACAGCCAGGGCCCAGCTTTGGAAAAAATGCGAAATAGATAAACTTTAGTTTGGGGAGCCACAGGGCTTTTGAACCCGACCTCTCTGTCTTCTGGCTTCAGATTTCCTTGATAATGACTCACCCATCAAAGCTTATCCTAGCCCTTCTCAAACAAATCTGAGAAACGAATTCTGGCTATAATGTAAATGTTTGATAAGGGCTTAATGTTTCATGCTGTGAAGGTCCTAGTTGTATTTTGATAAGCATCTTGAATAGCATTATTCAAAAGGAGTGAGGCCTGTGGAAATTTCAAGTCAAGGGCATAATGCGAGTCGGGTAGTCTTCTGGGTCTCCTTCCCTATGAGACATCTACATGTCATCGACACAGTCCCAGGACCTTTAAAAACATGAGTGGTGGGTGTTGGAACACACTGAGTTGGTTTTCCATCAGCATTAATATTCTGCAATAAAACAGCAAGGCTGTCTTGTCACAGAGAGTACCCCTGTGAATACAACTGCCCCTTGCACATGATCCCAAGTGTGAAGGAGAGTTCAAAATCCACTGCTGGAGTATTCCAGCCGGGCGCCATAATTTACTCCCAGTCTTCTCGTTGATAAATCCCTCAATCTCTCTGACCTGCAGGGTGATAAAAGCAGCTCCTCACTCGCCGCCCCCTTCTCCTTTTTTGGGGGGGTGGGTGCTGTCCTTAGTTGCTATCCATATGCCCCCCACTCAGGCAGCCCCATGCACAAGGGATCAGATTGAGGCGGCCCATGTGGTTTGGGGGGGGGGGCAGTTTCTGGAAGTACACCGCCCGGTTTCCCTGATGAATGTCTTCCTCTGGAAGCTCTGCTGCACAGCAGCAGCGTCCCCTCCAGCGGGGACAGTGCGTGAGGGGCACTGGCGGGAAATGGAACCTGCGTCTCCCACGTGGAAGGCGAGAAGTCTACCACAGAACCACCAGAGCCTCACTTCCTTCCACTTGAGGTGCAGAAAGGGTCAAACGAGGTTTGAATTTGAGAGCACTTGGGATATTGCGAAGCCTTCAGACAGGTCATCGATGACCATGGTTAGGTCCTGAACTAACTGATGTTTTGAAGAGGGCTGATCAGTGAATAAAAGGTTTCTTTGGCTACCTCACCTCCTCGACAAAGGGAAGTTGAATATGCTAAACAGTGGTCAAGAGCATAGCCGTCAGAGGTCAGGACAGACTTGAATTCATCTGAACCCTGGCTAACTGTGTGACCCTGGATGGGTAGGGACTCCAGGGGGATAAGAAATAGTCTCTACCTCCCAGAACATAAAATGCGATCATGCATTTGTAAAGTACTGACTGAGCAGATAGGTTAGAAAATACTTGCTATTTTTCCCTCTTTGAAATCAAGAATAAACTCTGACTCCTAAAAATAAAGCCACAGGCCACAAAGGAACCCACCCCCCAGAGCCCAGGCGGGAAGCCCTAGGAGAAAGCCCTGGATGGCTAGGTAAACATTTAAAGCCACACTCTGAGAGGACCCTGGCGCTTCAGATTTCACCCAGATCAGGCAGCAGTGGAGCATTTGCTAAAGGCCAGGGAAAAGAAGCGGGGACAGAGAACCTGCAAGGGGGCCTTTAGGCAAAGGCCCAAATCAAAGCTCCCTAGGAAGAACTCTGTGTGTACATGAACCTTCGAGGGAATCTGCCTCGTGGCTTTTCGTTGTTTTTTCTTTCACACACAAGCAGAGATGAATTTAACTCCCTCCTGGAAAGCCTCCTCCACCACTTCCGGGGGGAGGGGGGGCAGAAGGGAAAGTGAGGTTCACTGGCCTCAGGCCCCTCCTCCCTTCCAGGGTGTTCCCTGCAGCTCACCAGTGTGGATGAAGGTGTGCTTCTTCATGTCTGACTTCTGGTGGAACCTCTTGCCACAGTACTGACAGGGGTAGGGGCGGGTGTCCGAGTGAATGAGCAGGTGTGTGGATAGGGTGGACGACCTCTTGAAGCTTTTGCCACAGATCTTGCAGTCAAAGCTCCGCTCCTGCGGGGAGAAGATGCACCCGGGCTGCCACTCTCCTCGCCTCGATACTCAGAAGTCCCCAAAGCCAGGACTCTTTTCTTTCCTATCTCCCTTCCACAGAGCCCCCAGCCTCTACTCCCCCCACCCTTAGCCGCTGCCCTTTTGACACTCTGTCTCCCCCAAAGCACTAGCACTATTCACCCGCGGCTCTCCACAACCTGTGCCAAAGACTTATATACCCCACCCTGATTTTTCTTTCATTTTTGATTTTGTTTTGGACACCCATGTAACCACACTTCGACGCCCTCCTAGCAGCAGGCTTCGACCTCAGTCACTCAGGCTGTCCCTCACCCCTCCAGCCCCATCGTGGGGGCGGGTGGGGGCGCGGTGTTGGGTATTGTTTTCTGCAGTGACCGCGGGAAGAGAAAGCTGCCCGGCGGCGAGGGCGGGGAGTGCAGCCCAGAGCCAAGCTCACCTGGGAGTGCACGGCCTTGTGCTGCTCCAGGCTCACCGCGTGCCCAAAGGTCTTGCCACACATCTCGCAGGCGAAGGGTCGGGTGCCGCTGTGGGACCTCCGCACGTGCACCTCGAGCCCGTGCGGCGTGGAGAAGACCTGCGGCGGGTGGGGCGGGGAGAAGGCCGCTGAGAGGGGCCGCGGGGCTGTGGCGCAGTCGGGGCGCGGGCCGGGGGCGGGCGCGCTGGCCTCACCTTGCTGCACTTGATGCACTTGTAGGAGCCGCCGCCCAGCAGCAGGCGGGTGCACAGCAGCTCCGACTCCACCTTGACGCCCTCGCCCTTGTCCGCGTGCAGCCCACGGCCGCTCTCG